AGATGTGATTACCAACCACCCTTCAGTCCACAGCTAACAGCTGGACACAGATATGAGAGGAGATAGACGTACGGCTGACCTCTCCTCAACTTGAGAGACAACAAAACAAAGGAAAAATATATTAATAATAATAAAATCAATGCGACTTGGAAACTACAAACATAGTTAATGACAATAAGTAACAAACAAAATGAACAGTGGAGTTCTCTGATTCCCCAGTAGAAAATAATAAAATAAAAAGACAAGAAATACATGTATTTAAAACTACATTGCAAAAAAGAAAGAAGAATTATATATAATTAAGAACTAATCAGACATTAAATGTGATGTGTACACTGCAATATGTTTTCTTTTGCAAAAAGAAAGACCTGTCTGGTATAATGAGACAGACTACAGACTTTAAGTGACATTATCATCCTCTGCATCTCCCACACTCATAACCAATATTATTATCTGAAGACTTACTGTTAAAGAAAGGAAAATGAAAGCAAACGACAAAAACAAAACAGAACAAACGCTTGCCAATGCAAATCACCCTAATGGCAATCTGTGGCTCTCAGCTATTTAGCAGGCAAGCTAAGTCCATTTCAAATTATTGGGATAAATGGACGTGTTGTTGCTGTGCTCTCCGCTCATGACTCAGTGTCATGGTAACATCAGGTCTGACTCCAGGGTGAGCTAAAGGGCTAAACACCTGAGAGGAAGAGCAGCGGGGTTCAAAGCAGCTTATCTACTTTAGTGTATGTCTCTAATAAGGTTGGTAAAGTAACTCACAGAGGCTGTGGGGGGAGAAGATGCAGTGAAAGTGGGGTTGTACCATGATATTGCTGTGAATTAAAGCTGAAACACAAATTGAGAGGAAGACTTCAAACTCACAGCTTCGTGATTCTGCCCTTTAAGACTTCATTAGTCTGTGCTGACACTAAGACCTTAAATGGTTTCTTTGTGATTTATAATCTCTGCTTCTCAGTCTGTCAACTGCAACAAAAGCAGATCTCTTTGTCTAGTCAAGATAATAAAGTACCAGATCTTAATTTGCCTTGGACAAGTCTTATAAAATTATGGTTCAAAATTTAAAGGTCCAGTGTAAGTGTCCCTGACAAAGGATTTTCCTTGTCGAGTAGTACTCATCACTAAATCACTTTAAGCCTGGCAGTCCAATATCATTAACTTTAGATCAGAAAATATAAAATATATCCAGTTGAAAAAGTGAGCTCCCACTTTCCTGCACTTGCTGTCATTGTGTCCTGATTAGTCTCACCTGTCCTTCCCTCCCTGGTGTATTTAGTCCGTCTGTTCCTCTGTCTCTTAGCGTTCCAGCTTTACTTCTAGTGTTCTTGGTCATTTTCTTTCTCTGACAGTTTCCTGAATTTGTTTTCTTATTCCTGGATCTGTGTCTATCAACCCTGTTTGTGGCAAGTAGATACTACTTCTATTCTAGTCCCTCTGAGATGTGCTATTATAAGTCTGTTTGCCTGACTACTCCACTTCTTACAAAATGTCTGGACAAAATTTTCATGGCAATCCACTCAGTTGTTGTCGAGATATTTCTCTGGACAGACAGACCTACATTGCAATCCCTAAAGCCACACATGACTCATGGATGATAATTACTGTTGGAAGTGTAAAAATAAAGCAGGAAAATCAATTTTCCTCTTTGAAAAAAAAGAAAAGAAACAGTAATCAGATGTATTAGAGCGGTTACGTCAACTGCTGCTCCAGCTGTGTTCATTAGGAGACAGATCTCTCCTACCACAGCGTGCATCCAAACAGGAATTTGGACTGGCATTGGCAGGCTTTATTGGTGCTTCAAGGATGGTTCTCCATCACTGAATGAGTCAGATAAAGATCTGGTTCAGCAGAATGGGTTGAATCTCTTTCGCAAGGACAAACAATTTGAAAACTGGTCTGTGTTTGTGAAGAAAAGAACATAATAGAAAGAAACTACTCCTTTGTTGTAAAATGTTAAATACAGAACAATTGCACGTTGCCTGTATTTTCATCAATAAAAAGATAATTATATTTAAAAAAATAATTTTAGTTTGAAAATATGCATGTATGAAATGACTTGAATGTCCCCATCTAGAGCCAGTGTTTGGTTTGTCTGTTTGGGCTTCTGTAGAAGCTCCTACAGCATATCTAGATAGATACGTCTCTTTCTAAGGTAACGAAAACACAGCGACTCCTATATTCACTTGATTATACACTAATGAAAACATACCTGTGAATGTTATATTCAATTTCTGCCAATAGATCATCCTTAATGTAACACACTGCACCTTTTTAAATGAACCTATGTAACTTTAAAAACAAGTGATTTGGATGAATATTGAGCAGATTATTTCCTGTGAATGTTGATCAGAGATAAGTTTTCCTGATATTTTTATTAACTTTTTACTGTCTGTATTAGGCTTTTTTTAAACAATCATACATTTAATCTAACCTTATCTAAACATAAAGGGGAAAAAAACAATTCAATTTAGTTTACTTCACAGAAATGAACAAAATGCAGAGATATCAGCCTACTATGTATATTTTTTAAAGTTTTCTTACACCCGTTAATATCAAGAAGGCCTTGCGACCTCCTGTGAAGCTCTGGCAACCCCCAGCTTTGGAACCAAATTGAACAAGGCAACGCTTTACTGCTCATGAGTTCAACTTATCATCTTGAATTTCTTCTTTCAAAGTAGACACTCTACATGTGAAATTAAGGACTTGACTTTTGCATTGCATTTTTAAATTAATTACACACATTTGAGTGCACTGATGAAGAAGATGATGGTTTTCAGCATCAAACTGTTTTATCAAACTTGTGTCCTGATACACACGATCATAACTGTTGTCTGGGGTAACAATCCATCCATAGAATAAAGTACAAATAAAGTATAAAATCATCTGAATGTGGACAGCAGCAGGACAATTCACTCGATCTGTTTTTTTCTGAAGGCAGATATCAAATTGTCAAGATTCTGCAGGAATACTTGATATATTTCTCGGAAAATTGGACGCTGCCTTGAGGATTCATTCAGTGTGCCCTTTCTTCTCTCCAGCAGAAAGACGGATAACATCTCAGTCGATGGAGTAAAGAGTCGCCATGGAAACTTCAGGCAGCTTCAGGACATTAACTGAGAAACCAATTACAAAACAACATGCTCTCAAAAGTATAATAACTCTGTGAAGGGAAGAAAAAAAGAGTAACATAATAACCACTATTAATTTTCAGAAAGGCTAAGTTGGAGAATTGGTCCTAATACTCTTCATCATCAGTATCATTATACCATCATCATCCTCATAAAGTTTTTTCAGCAGTGAGAGAGTGTAGCTTCTGTGTTGAATTCACTTAATTAACACCAGCAAATTAACAGGACGTATAAACAATAAAAGCTTCAAATGTGTACAATCGTCTGAGGCTTAGCGGACCCCAAGATAGCATCGGTCTCTGCTCTCAGGTTACATAGCGTGTGCATCATCCTTGTCGTCATTTCCAGATGGTTATCTCCCTGGCAGATCTCCCAGCATGGGTTTGTCTGAGGCTCACATGCTTGCATAATGATAATACAGCTGTTCCCAGACCTGGTCAGAGCAGATCAATAACGCAGACGGAAGGCCGAGGACGATCGATGGAAACGAGAAAAATAATAAACTATTTCCTTGCTGAGTCTGTGCACTTTGGCTTAGAGTATTTGACTCTTAAGAAAAATAAATTTTAGAAGGATTAAAGGTCCAGTGTGTAACATTAAAGAGGATCTATTGACAGAAATGTAATATAATATTCATAGATATGTTTTTATTGTTGTATAATCACCTGAAAATAGGAATTATTGGGTTTTTGTTACCTTAGAATAAGATGTTTTTATCTACAGACACAAAGGTGGACTCCTCCACGGAGTCCGCCATGTTGAACATATGAAACATATTTCTACAGTAGCCCAGAACGGACAAACCAAACACTGGCTGTTGTTTCTCATTCACATTTCCAGTTCCTCAGATACAGACGCGAGTGGTGTTCAGTTAATTACAGTCTGCATCTTCACCGCTAGATGGCAAATTGAATAATTTAATTTTGCACTTCCATGTATTTGGAGGCCCTCTGAGAGACAGATTGTAGCAGCATAACTCGACGGAGGACAACGCCACCACCTCTCTCAACAACTATTGGATGACTTGTCATGAAATTTCATTCCCACATTCATTGTTCACAGAGGATGAACTGTGACGACTTTGGTGATCCTTTCACTTTTCATCTAGCTTCATCATTAGGTAAAAACAGTTTGTCCACTACTTTGATTTATGACCAAATACTTAATAAACTAATGAAGTACTTTGTGACCAGATAACCAGTGTTATATGTATGTAATATTGCTGTTATGCCCCTTGTAACCTCACTATAGTTTGGACTTTTTGATTCGGTACCACACAGGAGACTATGATGATGATATGAGATGCAGTATATTTGGAATAAGTATTTACATATAGATTAGCCTGTATATAAGTAATTCAAATATATACATAGTAATGAATGAATTGCTGATGTATTCAGTGAGAAATGACAAGAACGAGAACCTCAGAGGTCTCTGAGGTGCAGAATAAAATTTCATGCTGCTCAGACTAAAGTGGACTCTTCTGCTTCTGTTTGATCTTTACAGACAGGTTCATTACACTGCAGAAAAAGTGTATTGTAATGAACTATGATGCATTGTGGGATACATACTATTGCCACTTTTCATATACTGCAAAAATAATATATATAATAAAAATATATATGAATGTATGATACAATATGTTTGGTGACACAAAAATAAAAATAATAACATTGTGGATGTATGTCCTGCCACACAACATACTGCATCATCTTTACTTGTTTCAATAAAGGAAGACTGGATGCTGGATGAACTGGCCTGTTCAGGATTTAAGCAGTGTTTTAGAGGCTTGCTGTTTATTCCCATTTCACTGGCTGCGGGTCACTGGAAACAGTGGAAAGGTATTGGTGGGATCGGATTCGCACAGCATGGTGACGTTGCCTCGGAAGGCAGGGAGCACAGCCTGCACATGCAGCTCCATCCCATCTTTATTCAAGAGAAAAATCCGTCCTCAACCCGAGCTACATGTGGAGGACATGCATCTTTAATATACAACATGTAACTTTTTCTTGAATAGTGGGAAAAGATGGAGCTACAGGTGGAGAATCAGAGTCAGTATTTCAACACCAACACCGTGAGGTTGCCGGCGAAACACATACTGGGGATGGGTGTAGATAACTTTATTTCTCTTCTGATATTTGGACTTATTTTCATCCTCGGTGTGCTTGGGAACACCATGGTGATCACGGTGCTGGCGCGCAGCAAACCGGGACAACCGAGGAGCACAACCAACATCTTCATCCTCAACCTGAGCGTGGCGGACCTGTCCTACCTCCTCTTCTGCGTCCCCTTCCAGTCCACCATCTACATGCTGCCCACATGGGTGCTGGGGGCTTTCATCTGCAAGTTTATCCACTATTTCTTCACCGTGTCCATGCTGGTCAGTATTTTCACTCTGTCGGCGATGTCCGTGGACCGCTACGTGGCCATCGTCCACGCCAGGAAATCCTCGTCGATCCGTGTGGTGAGGCACGCCATGCTCGGAGTGGTGCTGATCTGGATCCTGTCTCTGGTTATGGCATCTCCCGTGGCGCACTACCAGAGCATCGTGGAGCGGGACGAGAACAACACCTACTGCTGGGAGGTTTGGCCGGACCACCAGAGGAAAGTCTACGTGATGTGCACCTTTGTTTTCGGATACCTCCTGCCTCTCACTTTGATATCTGTCTGCTATGCAAAGGTGGGTGCGCATGAATCACAGTAAATCAATGCGTAAAAATCAAAAGCATTTATGGTAAATATAATGTGTTCACAGTTTTGAATGAATACATACTAAATTCAGATGACAGCAAAGTTAAACATGATGGAAAATTGTGTCTTGAATCCAAATAAAAGACACTTTATTCTTTGAGTGTAAAAAACATATAAACACAAATATTCACTGCCCAAGCAGCTGCCATAAGTCTGGACTGTATCCTTAATGTGCACAAGCATTGTTACTGCATTACAGGAAACATTAAGGTCTTTTTCAAAATGGCACAATGGAGAAACTAAGAAAAAATAATAATATCTTTATTGTTGCAGGTTTTAAACCATCTGCACAAAAAGCTGAAGAATGTCTCCAAAAAATCTGAGCTCTCCAAAAAGAAGGTTGGTGGGAGCTTATTTCTGTCTCTATATTTGGCAGGTCTGTGGTGGTTGAAAGGTAGGTGGGCACAGTGGCTGTAGACTTGCATATAGAGCTGGAATGATTAATTGATTAGTTTGATAACAATTCAATCTGCATCTGTTTTTGATAATCGACTATTTGTTTCAGTCATTTTTCAAGCAAATATACCAAAGCAAATATTTCTGGTTCCAGCTTCTGAAATGTGAGGATTTTCTGCTTTCCTTGTCATTTATGATTGTCATGACATTTGAAGATGTTACCTTGGATTCTAAGAAACTGTGTGGTTTTACTACTTTTTGACATTTCACACACTAAGTGACTGAATTGAGAAGATAATTGGCAGATTTATAGCAGTTAGTTGCAGCAATACTTGCATACATTCTGCTCTAAATCACTGAAAATATTGTGGAAAGTGGCTTTCTAGTTAGGAATAACATTCAGTCGGTAGAAATGTGAAAAACTATGGCTATTACCAATCATTATCTCCTCTGTGCTTCTTCCACAGACTGCTCAGACAGTCCTGGTTGTGGTCGTGGTCTTCTGTCTGTCCTGGTTGCCTCACCACGTCGTCCACCTGTGGGTGGAGTTTGGCTCCTTCCCCCTCAACCAGGCGTCCTTCGTGTTCAGAATGGTGGCTCACTGCTTGGCCTACAGCAACTCCTCCGTCAACCCCATCATCTACGCGTTCCTGTCGGAGAACTTCAGGAATTCCTACAAGCAGGTTTTCTGGTGCCGGTTGCCCAGCAAGTGTCCTGTGAACGACAACAGGGACCTCCGCAGCAGAGTGGAGACGGCACCGTCCACCAACGTCAGCTTGACTTGCAAAGGTCAAGACTCTCAGACCAGTAAAATGCTTTGATGTCGCCGCTGGTGTTGAGAGCATCTCCTGTTTTCTGTATATATAACCTGATATATATTGATATTTGAGATTGAGAAAATACTGATACATCAGCCATGTATTTGGTTTTTTAAACTGTAAATAGCGGTACTTGAATTGGACCTCTTATCACTGGTACAGAGCTCTATCAAACTCAGTAACATTATCTATTATTCAGTGACATTTTAAACATTTTATAACATTATATAACGCACGTTAACATTTATGAATAAGTAATCCTGATTATTATGATGATTGTTTCCTGCTCGATCAAGGAGGGGAGGGAAACTCTGCAGCTGTGTGAGGTGCAATCAGTGACTGTATTGTAAATGTATTAAACCTGAATTTCTTCTACCGGCCAGCAGGGGGCGGCTCCATTGGCTGCAAAAAAACTCAGATAGTATGAAGTCTTATGGAGAAATGAGCCAACTTCTCACTTGATATATTAGCTTAGTGAACTGTTTCCTAATGAGTTTATGGTCTCAATCGCTAGTTTTGTACAGCATGTTGTTTATTTAGTAAATTATGGTCCAATTTAGAGTAAAATAGTTGATAAAGTAGGGTATGCTTTAGAGTGTTGCTACCCTGTGATTGACAAGTCATCTCTGTCAGTTCGTCCAGTCCAATGTACGAAACTCAGATTAAACTGTCAAACTAGGCAGTGCTGATCAAATACAAATCAAGATTCTGTTACTGTGTTGACTATTTCTCACCTAAAATCATTTTAGAACCATTTTGAGACCTGACACAGGCACAAGAACCTCTCTGAGCAGCAGAATACATTTTCAGTATCTGCACAGTGGGTGTCAGAATCCATTCATTATATTACAGACTGAAGTGGACTCTTCTGCTTCTGTTTGATCTTGACAGACAGATTCATTACACTGCAGAAAAAGTGCATTACGACACACCGTACGTCACATGACATTTTCACAACCATAATGCCAACTTGAAGCTTTTAAACAGCCCTCCAGCAAACAGGTTACAAAAGTTTACACTTTGGGTACAATATGTGGTCTAAGTTCAATATTTTGGGAAACACACTTTTTTGCTTAGGGTTAGATTATAATTAGATCTGATTGATTATCTTATCTTAGCACAAAGACTGGAAACTGTCTAAAATCTAAATTTAAAATAAAACAATTTTCTGTTTTAAGGTGAGGTTATCTGCCAGATTATTTCTTTGCGGAGACCAGTTGCCATGCAGAAGGTTACTGCTCCTTATATAGACCACATACATGTATTCTTACATCATGGTATGTGTACAAGGTATAGATTTTGTCATGTAACTCTTAATAACTCTTAGTAAAAAAAAAAGCCAATTAAGAATATTTCCCAGATTATTACATTATTACTTTAAAACTTTAATTCGTACCTTCAAAAGAATATTTTTTGCACACAATCTGTGCCCTCAAATGCTAAAAAATAAACTTGCCATTGCCCTCTACTGGACAAATTATCTAATAACACTGCTTTCTCTATACTAAAATTTCATTCCTATTGGCAGAAAATAACACAAATAGTTAATACCGTTAATTAAAGGCCTGGTCTGTGACGGGACTCCAGTGTCCTGCATTAAAGTCAGAGACACTATGGACGCATCCACCACATTAACCTCCACACTATGATGTAAACTGCTTCCTGCATTGGAGCTAAATTACGAGATGCAGAATCATCCAATATGGACGTAATTCTCTGTGACACCGGGCTGGACGTGTACTGCAATAGACCTTTTTTACACAGCAGCCATTTTGACATGAAATAATAGGGTAAACACGCTAATTAAGGTTTCGTTACATTTTGTGTAGCATTCCCAGTGAGCTAACATGCACAACAGCAGCATCCTTAGGCCCTGTTTACACAGTTTTGTGACAAACGGAAAAATTTTTCCTTCTCTGTGTTTTAAAAAAAATTCAGCTTGTTTTGAAAATGATCCTCGTGCACACGGATCTTCAAAAATGATTGAAGACATTGTAGTATGCATGCTATACCAGTAGGTGGTGGTGTAACTTTGTATTTTGACTTATGTCTTGATGCCAAAAACATCCTTTACTTGTCCTCCGCCGACGTAGATATGGATTGAGTGTGTGTTGTAATGAATGCGTCTCTGCTGATCACAGTAATGGTGCAGCAACTCTACACTTTACTAGAGGAGCAGTAATAAACTCAGCAGAGCCTGCAGCACAAACACAGCTCGATAGTCCGCCATTGTCGTTCTATGGCTATTTGGCTGAAAATGTAATAGTCATGCGTGTAGTTTCCAACAGATTGCACTCTGGAACAAAATTGTGTGTTTTCAGGCTTCCAAAACGACAAACAAAGAGCCAAACTACAACAAAAGTTTACCATTTTACATAAAAAGCATTGAATGGAATGGAACCTTAATTAGTTTTATGGGTAACACGTGTTTACCCTACTATTCATCAAAGGTCACCGATATGCTGTGAGCAGCTAAAATCTGCCTATAATATATATATATATATATATATATATATATATATATATATACATATATATATAATATCAGCCATGTTGATGTATTAGTCAAGCTGTAGTTTGGTCAAAACGCTGTTGGTGCCATAAAGTCATTTGAAATGTCATTTTCAAAGGCACAGTTTGAAGTGGAATGTAATGTACTTAAATTGAGCTCTTGGTGAGAAAAGGTCTCAATGCTGCAGCCAGTAACAAATACTCCATCTGTAATGTGGTTTCTGGTCTGTGGCTGCAGACTTTCTAATGAAATCCCCCCCACTGAAGGTGAAACTGAGACAACAACAAGCCTCAGCTGTGCTCGCCAAGACGGACTGAAGCCTCGCTGAGTTTCTGAATGCATTCAATTTGTTTACCTTACATTCAGGTCTATTCATTAATGCCCCGACAAACACAGAAAGGCACTGTTCTCTTCCCATATAGGGATCGTCAGGGGATTGGACTCTTGATTGTTTGGTATATCTGAAGGCTGAGTTACTATGTACATATGTTAGCTTTATACCAGAGAACATCAGGTACATGTACATGAGAGTAAATAACAATGCAGCATTTAAATGACGTTGCAGATAACCATTCTGCCCGTAAAGACAAAAGGATAAACAAAGTCCCTCGCCAGTTCACACCTGAGCTACCAGAGACTGTTCACAAAAGGAAAAAGGAGTCCATGTCTGCAGGAAAAAGAGCCAGAAGGAGGTTTAGAACATGGTAATTTGCATATTTTGTCCAGTTTTTCTTTTATATAACCACACACACAATCCACACACACACAATCCACACACACAATCCACACACACACAATCCACACACACACACACACACACACACACACACACACACACACACACACACACACACACACACTTTAAACCTTCTGTACATTTCTGTTAATGGGAACTTCTGATGTTTGTACTTTTGAAGTTAATGTCACTGTAAAATGTTTTCACTTGTGCTGATGTTCGCAAAATAAGCAAAGAACTGCATAAGTGTACAATCTGTTTGTGAGTTATACAGAGAGATGAATAAATTATATGACAAACAAATCAATTATTAATTAATTTTTCTTTAAATATAGCTCCTACATGCATGAACCACAGCAGTAATGCACGAATGGTACGGTTTGTTCAGGATGTAATCAGTTGTTTTACCAGAGCAGTGTTGAGCTGGTTTACCTGCTTTCTGATGGCACAGATTACATACTGCTTCCTGTTTATCCCCAAGGCTGAATTTGATTCAAATGAAACAGGTAATGCTGCACGCTCCTCTCCACGCCCTGCAGGCATCGTTGAAGCCTTTTCATACTGCCTTAGAAAAGAGAGAAAAGGGGATTTGCATATGAATATTGGTATTTTATGTTTAGCATGGGGGGATTTCATGTTTGTAAATGAGGTTTACTATAAAGAAACAGAGCACATAATGTCTGGTGAGGTGTCTTTAATACATCACATTTGTATTCAGGTCTCATTGGAGATATTATGTTGCATATGTGACGTCCTGCTGGCAAATGCTTGAAATACTGTTCCTATTACTGAAAGGAAGCTTATGAGACAGTCGAGTTTAAATTGAAGGTTGTTTAAACAGCAGGGTTATCAGGTATACGTTCACATATGCAGAGAGCTGTCATATCCTCTATGTATGTCAATATTTGAACAGTAGCTGCAGGTTTTTGCTCACAGTAAACTGTTAATACAAGCAGCAGATATATGATGCAAAAAATCCCTTTAAAGGATGTTGGATGTTCAGTATGTCTAAATGAAGATATTAAAGGATTAAAGGTGTGTAGGATTTGGTGGCATCTGGTGGTGAAGTTACAGATTGCAAGTAACTGAACGCTGCTCGTGTCTAAATTTGACGATCTAGGATTCCCACGTGTAACATCAGTGCCGGTTGTAAAGCTACGTTTTCGGTATATACCAGTAATCCACTGTTTCACTCTAAGTTTTCTTTGACATCACTACAACACAAGGATATGGCAACTCTGTGTTTATGAAAAACGAAAACACAACAATTCCTATATTTATGTGATTATACACTAATGAAAACATACATATGAATATTATATTAAATTTTCTGCCAATAGATCCTCCTAAATGTTAGGGGGAGCTTTAAACATACAAACTTGAGTTTTCTGGTTTCTCTGATGAATTCAACAGAAACACAGTTAAAAAACTACAATTTTATCTAATTTTATGTCTTTAAAAACATGAAAATGTACAGTTAGTAAACGTGGCCAATAACCTTGTTCGCTCAGCAAGATGCAAACCTCTAGTAGTGTAATACAATCAGCACAATTGTTCATTCTCCGAGATACAGTATGGTAAGTGGTTATCTTGTAATTAGGGAGGAATCAGTAAATGAGGCCTCTACTGAGCCATTATTAATCAGGCCTCACATTTATTTGGTGTAATTTAATATGAACAGGCAGATGTTAGAAATGTTAAATTTAACCACCTGAACGCCTGAAAATAACTGAAACCATTACATTAAAAAAAAACTGTCATCACTTCATCACGTCATTATTAAGTAGGATATGGTTCATAAATCAGTGGTTCCCAATCTTTTCCCTGCAGGGACCCCTTCTTCTATCACTGACTAAATTACGTATTTTATGGATATTTCCTATTATATTGATTGCATAACAACAAACAGTACAGGACAACTGATAAACTGTCGCATTAATACAAACAGTGAATGACACAACTGTCATTAGTTCCTGTGAATATTACATCAGGAATAAGTTAAACAATCATACTTACTTAATAGTTTATTAGCTCTTTGGTTTTAACTGCAGACTTTTCTAATGCAACCCTTAAAATGTGTCTTGAGGCCTTGCGACCCCCCGTGAAGCTTATAGATGACCCCTAGCTGGGAACCACAGCCAATAAATAAACATTTAATCTTTCAGTTTATAGGAAAAATTACCAAATTGAGATCTGAAAAGTAACTAAAGCTGTCAGACAAATGTAGTGGAGTATTTTTAATTTTTAGTGAGTGCTGCCGTTTCTTTATAAATGGCTGTGCCTGTTTTTTATCAGCTCTTTTCGTGACAGTTTGTCAGAATTTCTTGAAGAAATCTGAACATGTATGTAATGTCTCTGAATCAAAAGCAACAAGTCTGATGTTTTATCTCATTTTAGTCCTTTTTAGCATAAAGGACTCTGTTATGTAACGCTCTCAAATGGTGCATGTCATTTTCCATTAGCTGAATAAATTAGTTGCAGTGCCGCAGCAAGGCAGGACCACAGGTTGTTTTGCTGGTGGCTCACACAAAAGGTCATGTTCATTAATGTGCTGCCCTTTTTTGAAGACAGTGATTTCTCCTTTATCTCTCATGACTCCGTCCACTTAGTCTCTGAGACCTCTCCTGCTCCTGAGGTCTTTAAAGCAAAAGAAAAGAGATGATTTTAGTCAGAATACAATGTGAGAAGTTAATGGGTCTTTACTGCAACAAAAGCTGTTATAACCTCCGTTGAACAGCAGATGTCAGACTTGTACAAGTGTCGAGTCTTTCTTTCTTTAGAAATAAGATAAACAACTTAATAGACTCAAACCAAAGCAGACAAATTCAGATGTGCATCAGAAGAGTAAAATAGAGTAAAGAAACATACTAATCTTAACAGACACAACAGATAGCTCAACCTTCACAAGAGCAGCAGTTAAATATATATACATATATAAAAATCCTTTTGATTTTGACACCACTTTAAATGTTTAATATCCAACTGATCTGTATTTTATGCCATCCATGAAGGCAATGTGCACAGCAACATTAAAAATATATCTTTCTTCCCCCATACATTGTAATTATATATATATATATATATATATATATATATATATAAGGTCAGTATATAAGATGGCTGCCATCTTTCATTTGAGTTAAAATCATACTTACAGCCACGAGATTCTTTAATAAGGAGAACAAACACAAATGGTGTAAGAGGTCATTTGGCATGTGGACGAGGACGCACTTGAACATTTCCCCCCAAAACTCACTTACTGCTCGTTGTGTCATTGATAAAAGTTTCTGATCCCTGAACTGTATAACACTCAGACACTGGATGAATGTCCAATGTGAACAGAGCAGACAAACCCACCCAACAACGAGGATCCAGGTGTCCGCTGGAGGTCAGCTGTCTACTTATACAAAGACCAACACCTGTCAGAGACTTATTTTGGCTAAAAAAGACTGCATCACTTCTTTCTTTCTTTCTTTCTTTCTTTCTTTCTTTCTTTCTTTCTTTCTTCTCCCATTTGTTTTCTTTCTTCTTTATTCAGGGTTTAAATTTAATACTTTTTTATATTTTATATTTTCAGGTTCCACGTTGGTTTCATTTTTGTAGTTGTTACAACATAATCAAAACTTATTTTTTTTACTAAAAACAAAAAAAATGCAACTATGAATAAAAAGTCTTTCTTTCTTTCTTTCTTTCTTTCTTTCTTTCTTTCTTTCTTTCTCTCTTCTTCTAAAGGAGGGTTAAACATCTTTGTTTTTGTCTGTATTTCTTTCTCTATCTTGACACATTTGTGGGGGGATTGCATGTTTCATTTTTATCTTTAAATTAGTTTCCAAGCTAAATTATTTGTTAGTTTTTGTAACACTCTTCTCCACAATCATGTCTCTACAGAAATAATCTCAGTTATTCTGTTCCTTTTGTGATTTTAATGTATTTATCACCATCTCTGTCATCTAAATCAACCTCAATCTCTCCCCCTCCCCAACCGGTGGGAAATTAATTTTCAGATCTTCTATGCTAATCAATACCACAGCCCGATAACCTCTCTCCCATTTCTCATTTCCCTCGGTGGCAGCTGAGGTCTCTATCCCTCCCCTGAGACTCCCACCTTGCCTATTGAAAGTGTCATAAATAATACGGGCTAATTAGATATGAATTGATTGTGTGTAGGTTGCAGGCGTTTTCATCCATCACTCTAAAAGCTGTTTAACAATAGATTACCACCCAATAATTCCCTGTGGAGCCACGGTGAATGGAGCATTGGGCTACT